GAAATCCTGTTGAGAGCAAATTGTTTCTTCAGGATAAATCATTCTACACCTGTTGAGAAGAGATCCTTCTTCAAATAGCACAGCTGAGGATGCACATATCGAAACTGCAAATCCACATCCTGCAAGCACAGGACGTAGTCATGAAAGGGTAGGGTCGTGAGAAGTTCTTCTGCTGAGAGATGACCTACATGCCTTGACAGGCCACTGAGCAACTGGCAGGCATCGGAGCAGGCTTTTGAAAGCCAGGCAGTCAGAAAGCCCAGGCATGAGGGAACCTGTTACTGCAGAGGAGATTTGTGCTCATTCAGATACAGTGTACATGGAAGACATGTACAGTATTTGCCCAGTGATCAAATGTGTCCAGTGCTTAGACTACTGCAACTTGAAAGGGTATCTTCCCCTTTCAAGCAACTGCAATGTACATGAACTTCGATTTTCTACACTTGCAGGAATTATAAAACAAGAGTTAAATTAGTGTTGGTAGGGTTGTTTAAATGTTACTGTGTCCATGAGAAATGAAGCGTTGCCAAGCCCTCACAAGAGCCGATGTTTTCCAGAAGAATTATTACAAGGCTGCTATAAATTCCATATAGGACACATAATCAAATGTTCTGCTTAACATCATAATTGCAGCAAGCACTGTGGTGCAATGTTGCAGAAAGTGTGACATCCCCCAGGCACGTTCTGACTGAGCAAACAGATATGGAGATGCAGAGGAATGAAAATGGAAGCAGAGTATCTGTTATGAGTGCAGGAGTGCTTTTGATTTCAGGAACTGAAAGGAGAATAGGGAAGAAACTAGGAGAAAGGAAATCCTTGAGCGGATTTTGAAAATGTGGTATCACTGAACCCACAGCACTTGGTGACCTGGGCTGATCAGTGCAGGTTGTAGTGGTTGAATTTTTAGCACTGCCCAGGATTTAGCCCAGATGGAAGAGGCTTGTTTCTTGGTAAAAGTAGCAATTTTTATATCATCCAAACCAGGTTAGCAGCAAAGGATTTACCACTTTGCCTTCTTTTTCTTCTGCAAGAAGGAATGTCATGGGGGGCTGTGGTCTTCAACATAGAGGTGCAGGTAGGTTTCTTGCAGCTTTGCTAGTATTGGTACAGTAAGACTCAGCCTAGTGGCTTGCAAAGGTCTGAACCTCTCCACATGTGAGTGAGCATGATATGACATATGGGAAAGGGCTGCCTCCTCCTGAGGTAACACGATTCTTCTCAAGGCCTTGTGCCATTGCTGAAGGGCCTTTTTAAAATTATCATAGCATTCAGAAAAATGTCTTCTCCTGCTGATCTCGAAGCCATAACTGCATTTCTGAAAAATGCTTTCAGGGTAAGCATTTAGGTGAGAAACTACGCTTTTCCTTTGTTGGTACTCTAAGATGACCACCAGGTGGGCTGCTGCAGCTTTGTACGTGGAGCCTTCTGTGAAGATTTTAGAAGAGCACTAAAGCTTGCTGATAGTGCATTGGTTTTGCAGTAAAATGGTTAAAATTCTCAATAATATATTTAAGCTACTTATTTTTCTGGAAGGTCCCAGAAAGGGAAGGAAAAGGAAAAGGAAAAGGAAAAGGAAAAGGAAAAGGAAAAGGAAAAGGAAAAGGAAAAGGA